TTCTTTGTTTTGCTATATGCATATTACATTCTTGATGCAATAATCTTTTATCTCCTAAATGGCAATAAGACCAGCAAGAAATCTTTTTTATCTGTATTTATCCAAGAATAATGTATCAAAGTTGAGATTTTTATCAGTTTCTAGTGGATTCCTGCATACCCATTTTGCAGAACCAAAAAAAGTTCAAGATTTTGATGTTTATGGACACAGAATACCAACCCCACCTCAGTTTTCATCTTTATGGTGTAATCAATGGAAAAAATTGAATCTTTTTCATTTTTATGGACACCCTTTTTCTACAGTGGTGGAAAATGGGGATAACGAATTAGAAGTTTGTGATGTGGATGTGGAAGAGAATGAGTGTGGAGATGGAGGATTAGGGTCTGAGAAAAGATTGAATTTTGTTCAAATAGCTAGTCGTGATCCGGTAGAAATATATAGGGAGCTTAGGGATGCTACCAAGTGTGAAAAGCAAACACGAGCTGATTGGGATACTTCGATTGAGATATTTAGATGTTTTGCTAAGTCTGGATGGGCTTCTAATCAGGCGCTAGCTGTGTATATTGGGGCTTCATTTTTTCCTACAGCAGCTCAGAAGTTCCGAAATTTTTTCTTTAAAAAGTGTAAGGTTGATGTTGTGAAGTACTTAGTGTCACTTGGTCCGTGTATTGAATCTGAGAAGTTTCTGTTTCCGATCTTTGTGGAGTTCTGCTTAGAGGAGTTTCCTGATGAGATTAAGAACTTCCGGAAAATGGTTGAGTCGGCGGATTTGACAAAACCTCATACTTGGTTTCCATTTGCCAGGGCGATGAAACGCAAGATCATATATCACTGTGGTCCCACTAATAGTGGTAAAACATATAATGCATTGCAAAGTTTCATGGAAGCAAAGAAGGGTATATATTGTAGTCCTCTAAGATTGTTGGCTATGGAAGTTTTCGATAAAGTGAATGGATTAGGGGTATACTGTAGTCTTCTTACAGGGCAGGAGAAGAAGCATGTCCCATTTTCTAATCACATTGCTTGCACGGTTGAGATGGTTTCGACTGATGAGATGTATGATGTAGCAGTTATTGATGAAATCCAAATGATGGCGGACACACATAGAGGTTATGCATGGACGAGGGCTCTACTAGGATTAAAAGCTGATGAGATACATGTTTGTGGAGATCCAAGTGTTTTGAATATTGTTCGCAAAGTCTGTTCTGAAACTGGGGATGAGTTGGTAGAACAGCATTATGAGAGGTTTAAGCCATTGGTGGTTGAAGCAAAGACCCTTTTAGGTGATCTCACGAAAGTGAAGTCCGGGGACTGTGTTGTTGCCTTTTCAAGAAGAGAGATATTTGAAGTAAAATTGGCGATTGAGAAGCATTCTAATCACCGTTGTTGTGTAATTTATGGTGCCTTACCACCAGAGACACGACGACAGCAAGCTACCTTATTTAACGATCCAAACAATGAGTTTGATGTCTTGGTTGCCAGTGACGCAGTCGGAATGGGTTTAAACCTAAACATTCGGAGAATCATCTTCTATACCTTGTCGAAGTACAACGGTGACCGGATTGTTCCTGTTCCTGCATCACAGGTGAAGCAGATTGCTGGAAGAGCTGGTCGAAGAGGAAGTCGCTATCCTGAAGGACTAGCAACCACTTTGCAGCTGGAGGATTTAGACTACTTAATTGAGTGTCTGAAGAAGCCATTTGAAGAAGTTAACAAAGTTGGGCTCTTTCCTTTCTATGAGCAGGTGGAGTTATTTGCGGGGCAAATTTGTAACTCTACATTCGCCGAGCTGCTTGATAGATTTGGTGAAAATTGCCGTTTGGATGGTTCTTACTTCTTGTGCCAGTATAACCACATAAAAAAGATAGCTAATATGCTGGAGAAAGTTCAAGGATTATCTCTTGAAGATCGTTTCAATTTTTGCTTTGCCCCTGTTAACATTAGAGACCCAAAAGCAATGTACCATCTTCTGAAGTTTGCTTCATCGTATGCACAAGCACTGCCTGTTAATATAGCAATGGGTATGCCAAATTGTTCTGCTCGTAATGATTCAGAGCTCTTGGATCTTGAGACTAAGCACCAAGTGTTGTCCATGTACATGTGGTTATCTAATCATTTTGAGGGGGAGAAGTTTCCATATTTCAAAAAGGCCGAGGCAATGGCAACAGGGATTGCTGAGTTACTAGGTGAATCACTTGCAAATGCTCGTTGGAAACCAGAGTCGAGGAATGGGAAACAACAAAAAGTGGTAAAGAAAGACCAAGGTCAGTTGTTAACTAATTATAGTGAATCCCTCTTCCCCCCTTTTTTTATTTCTTTATTGACTCCATATCAGCGAGCATGAAGTTTCTAATTATAAAAAAGAATACCCAAATGACCTCTATGTCATATGCATGGATCTAGGTCCACCCCCCAATTGTCAGAGGCAATTATTACCTGTTCTTTGGATTTGTTACAATAACCTAGACGTCAGTTGTCAGTTACTTACGTAGAGACTTTAGATTTGTGCAAGCGTGTCAATGAGGTGATTGCCATTTCAGCTCTTCATCCTTAATCCTCATTGAAGTACTAAAAATGGAAGGTATTAATTTCTGGTTCTGTAACTGGTGCATAGAAAGGATTTAATCCATTTTCCGCGAGGAGAAAGTAATTTTGTTATGTCAATAGAACAAATTTACATGGTTATTGGCATGGAAGGTTGCACAGCTAAAGAAAATTGTAGGACTGCTTCACTGGTGGTACCACAGTGATGTCCTGTTGAAACAGATGGGTAAAATTATAAAATAGCATAACAAACCCTTTTTTTATTAAAAAAAACGGCGGTGTCTGAGCCACAGCTTGTGCACACCTAGAGTATTCCATGGTACCAAAGTGATGTCCTGTTGAAACTGATAGGTACTGTGATGAGCATAATAGTCTTTTTTTTAAAAATCACGGTGGTGTCCAGACCAGCCTGTGCGCACCTCGACTATTCTACATGGAACCACCTATTCCCACCAACACATGTACTATGATGATAGCTTAATAGTACTGTTATGAGACGAGGGAAGATGTTACCAGTTGGTTTCTTGTTCCCTGTACTGCATGCCATGCTTCCAAACACCTATGTTGCTTTAACTCTCAAAAAAATATTGCCACACTGGTGTCATACTCCAACAGTGAACTATGTTTGGATGATGTAACACACCTGACAACATTTTTGAAGAGTCTGAGCAACCTAGCCAAAGACCAAAGATATCTGCATCTTACATGAGCCTGAATCTTATTTTAAGTATACTGCATGAAGAGATGATAGGTTGACGAGGTGCATTGAAGTCTTTGCTTAACCTCAATCATCTCAAAATGTACTCCTCATATACAAGTCGAAAGGCTTTGAGGTTTTTTTTTAATAACCGAGAAATCCACCTGTGATTTGCGCCCTCTGGACCAATCACAGCCTTCTAAACTTGGTGGATAATGGGCCCGCCCCTCTACCCTTCTCCACTTAATACCGGGCTTCGTTTGCATGGTGTGCGGCTTGAACCTGCGACCTAAGTCACAAATCCTCCTCCTTTTGCCATTCGAACTAGGCCTTGGGGGCAAAGGCTTTGAGGGCTTTTTGCCAATGTTTTGCTATTTAAACAATTCACAGTTTTAATTATGTTTTTTATATCCTTCTTTCATCTTATTACCTTACGTGACCATGTTCAACAATATATGTATTTTCCCTGCGAGAGCCAATCCTAAGATATCATGAACTTGCATATTAATTTGGTTCCTTTTACAGGAGAAACCAAGGAACAGCTTTGTCTCAACACCAGCAGCCACAGAAGATTGCAGCATGATACTGCTGGTTTAGCGCTTCGTGTCCCATAGACTAATACGGGCGTCCAAGCAAAGCAGGAAGTCTTGTACAGCTCCCAGATACAGCAGACTAGAATTAGAATCATAACCAGGAAGAAGAGGCAAGTTTCATCCAAATGTTATCGTGTTTAGGTCCTTTTGGAGGATGCATAATTTTTGTCCTTGAACTCGCTCATGTTTAGTCTTGATGCATCATGTTTATTAAAGGATTGAAAGATTCAGAAGAAAAGTTATCGGTGCTGATTGTTGGCTTCACTTGTACTAGACTGACCTGTTCAATCATAAACTACAGGAGTGAAGCTGGAGACTTGACGACTATAAGAGTTTGTGATTCCAACACATAGAAGCTGCGTCAAAATCTAGCAACATCAAGCAAGAGATAGATTCAAGATTTGAACTTGACGTGTTTAGCCTTTTATATAGTTAGAGCTGTACTCATTGTACTACAATCATGAGTTGAATTTCATATTTTTTTTGAAATTTAGTGGTTATTCATTCATATAAATGATGCATCTGATGTGAGAATCGAGCGGTGGAGGATTCTGATGCGTAGTATGTTTGTTTTGTTAGGTGAGCTATGATATCTTAGTTAAAACTATTGGCTGAGTCTTTTATGTTGTATTGTGTATATCATGCATATGAGACCAAGGGAATTTTTTTGTACTATTTCAGGTCCTATATCAAAGAATAATGACTATTAGTCTAGTCTTTTCCTTTTAAGGTATTTGTCTTTGCCTTCTGCCTATTCTGGTATTTGATATGTGTGCATTAAGGTGTTTTCAAGCTTGTATGAAGTGAAATTGTTCCACACACTTAACATTTACAAACGCTTGTAGAATTCGAATATTGTATGGCTAGTGAAGATATAATTACTTGCACTCAATGTTTACATCAAATCATAATTGAGTCACATTGCCTCATTCTAACTTACTTCCTTCTTCCTCATCATCTCTTAGAAAGCCTACACCATGTCGAAACTGTTTGGCTCATTTCAATGTTCGTCAGTGGACACATTTCATATTTCATTTTCTCCAAAGTATGCCTAGATACTCTTCAAATTGAGCTTTTACTTGACTACAAATATGAAATAAAAAAGTACTAGTTAATGGATGATATATTTCTCCATTGTGCTGAATTGATATGAAAGTCTTATTATGTTAGAAAAGAGTTTCTCCAGTTTCATATATTTGTGCTGAGAATGAATTTCAGTTTTGTCCAACCTTAGTGTGGAAAACTCAACAATCACAGCAAACCTGCTTGATTAAATTACAGAAAAAAGTACAAACTAGAGATCCAAGTTGTTGGTGCCATTTATGAGGACATTCACTGTGGCACATCAATTTACAGTCTTCTCTGCTCTCTTCTTTTGATCTCAATACAAAAAAAACCCATCAACTTTAAAACTGATAACACTGGCAGGAAAAAGTGAATGGAAGAAACTTATTACAGGTACCGATACCCGATGCTCATTTCTTTAGCAAGGCACTACACTGAGCCATAATCTTTGATGCCCTAGTAATTGCATCAGTCATGTAGAAATTCTCCACGGCAGGTGTGAATGGAGTTGCACTTACTTTTTGGCTGACTTCAGGTCTCAAAGAAGTTGAGAATGTGGCTGGTTGTCTCTCATCCACTTCTAGGAGATTTGGTGCTACTGTCTTAATTCGAGATCGGATTGCACCTAGACTATCATAGGGTAATGCGACACCTGCCACTTCAGACAGCGCTCTTACTATCTTCCAATCATCCCTGGCGTCGCCAACAGTGGGAACTGCTGGCATTGTGATCTGAGCGCATCCTTCTGTGTTTTCATATATTCCTTCTTTCTCTGTGAAAGCAGATGCTGGCAAAATGACATTTGCACGATACACACCGCGATCACCATGGTGACCTTGGTAAACCACAAAGGCATCATCTGGAAGTTTGTCCAAGTTCACATCATCAGCACCCATCAAATATACAAACTTTGCAGACTCAATGCATTTATCAGATTCAGGCACAAGTCCAAGATCAAGAGCGGCAGCTTGGGCAGCATTCAGAAGCAAAACATTTAGTCCATTCCAATCAGGTCTCACGACATTATTGTTCTTTGCAATTGTGTCAACGGCAGCAAAGACAGCATCCTTATCATCTCGATCAAACACACCAGCACCGACGATGATCACTGGGTTCTTAGCATTTTTGAGAGCTGAGGAAAATGGATGGCTTCCCTTGGCAATTTCAACTAGTGTTTGAGGGTCTGTTCCAAGATGTTCATGATCATAGTTGAAATCAGCAGCAGGCCCAACATAACCTACCTTAGCATTTGTAGCTTTAACTGTTTTGCGGATTCTGGCGTTCACCATAGCAGCTTCCACTCTTGGCTGGAAAATTCAAGACAATAGTAGCCAATAATTAATAGAGCATGAGAATAACAGATACACAGCTTGCTAAAGGTAATAAATTCCTAATAAACAAATGTACAATGTTGTCCTCAATGGAGCTATCATAAATCTTTATCACACTTCTGAATATCATCCATGTGATTCGCAAAATTAGGCTAGCCAATTCAACAACATTTTGATCCTTCAACAATTAACTTAAGTAGCCAAACCATCAACTAGTCTAATAATTAGCACACCCAGTAGAAGTCAAATTTCATTCCCGGAGAATTAACAAGAGGACTAGTTTCCCTCTTATCATTAGTTAGAGAAGGATGAGCTGGTTTCATCAATGGCAATCATGTATAATCTAAATTTAGACACCCTTCCCCCTCAAAAGGACCCCCAGAGATTGTTTGTACTGTACTTGGGAACAGGGAAAAGGGTAGGCATGGAACAGAAACTAAAAATGAATGATCATGGAGTTTTTCCATCCACTATGCACATATAGAAGAGATCAAGCGACAACCCTTTTCCAAATTATAACCATGAAAAAGGATTGCAAACATTTACCTGGGTTCCAACCAAGAGGAAAGCATCTGCTTTCTCCAAGCCACTAATGCTGGTATTCATAATATATCCAGAACGAAGGTCAGCATTTGGACTCATGCCATTTCCTTCACAAAAGATGTTGTTTGACCCCATTTTGTTCAAAAGATCTTTCAGTGCCATCATGGATTCTGCGTCAGACAGTTTTCCTGCAACACCAACAATTTCCTCTGGCTTAATTTGATGCATGACTTCAGCAACAATAGCTAGGGCATCCCGCCAGCTCACTGCCTGAAATCGTCCATCAGCACCACGGATCATGGGGTCATTGAGCCTTTGCCTCTTCAGACCATCATAAAAGAATCGTGTTTTGTCTGATATCCATTCTTCATTGATGTCCTGTGCCATTATGTGCATTAACTCACTCTTTTAATTTACAAAATCAAAAGCAAAGGAAAAACAGAGAAAATACTAATTCTGAAACTACAACTAAGAATTTAGTATACTGGTAATTAGAAGTATCTACATCAAGGAGTACAAAAATAAAACATTTTCAGAAGAGAAAACACAAAAAAGAGAAATGATCAAGGGGTCCAAATCATATCAAGGCAGCATTTAGTCGTATTTACTCTTCTTCCTTCCGCTGCAGGTCGTATATGCTTTTCTTCAATAGTACAGTGCAATGGCCGAGTGTGAAATAGACATACTTGCAGCAGCAGTTGGCTGAAAATGTGAATGTGAAGGGCGAGATATGTGAATGTGAAGAGCAGAAGGATGGGGAAAATGAAGTCTACCACCTTATAAAAATCATTTTGATACAATACATCATCAACCTATATTTTGCTAATTACACCTTGTAATCAGGTGCAGCCTCTTCACATTGGCTGCTCTTTTCAAAAACAAAAACTCCTCTTACTAAACTATTCAGCACAAATTATCAAATTTTGATCTAAACCGAAAACAAGAAAAAGTAGAGCCTAGGCAACACTAAGCTAATGCACAAACACACTGGCAAAGCAGAAGTCAGGTCCAAATTTAAATCAGCTCTAAAGCTTGGGCTACCCTGAAACATTTAAAACTTGAATGACTTCCCAACTAGAAAAAAATGCAGGAACTGGAGACACACAGGTGATCCTCGTAAATAAGATAATCTACCAAATATAAGCATGACTACTCAGTTCAGAGGGGATAAAATAAGAGCTCCAATAAAATACAGTACCTCATTTAATCGTGGTACAACACGCATGACCTCCGGACCTCTACTATCAATTCGGATGTTAGAACCAACAGCATCAGTCACATCAATGCTTTCGGTGCCCTTTAGCTCCCAATTTCTGGCTTTGAAGGCAAAAGGTTTTGATGTAAGGGCTCCTACTGGACATATATCAATCACGTTCCCTGAAAGCTCACTTGTCATAAGCTTTTCAACATAAGTTCCAATTTCTTCTCCACTACCACGACCCAACATTCCAAGGTCCTCCACTCCAGCTACTTCTGATGCAAACCTGACACACCTGTTTCACAAGCAGGCCAATAATCAGAGCATACTGTGCTAGAGATATAAAATGTACTCAAGCAAGTCTTTCCTATTCCTCCTGTAAAAAGCTTAAACCTAATATATATTTGCTATACTCAATCTCTCATACATGTTCTGAAGTTTTTTTAAAGCTGTATTAACAAAGAGGACAAATTTTGAGGTTTATCAGTGGAAAGGAATAACTCAAGAAGGCAGAAGCATGTCAGAGATATGAAAGAGCCAGTGGCAAATTGTTCTGTTGTAGGGTGATATAACCACAAAATATGAATGTTAACATCCCACAAATTATGCAGTATAGGAGTGAATTGGGGACGATAGACCGGCAATTTCTGCTAAGCTATTGGCACTTATAACATGCCAATGTCCACGAAAATCATCACTCCCATCTTATCAGGCTACCTCTTCATTTTATTTTACTTTTTGGGGGAGGGGGATAAGGTATTAGGCTCTCTCTTCTTCTGACTATTCTTAATTAGAAATCACATGCACAAGGGACGAGCATTCAAATGATTTCCTGCTCTAACTTGCAAGTTTTTCTCATGAGATTTGGGGAACATAAAAAGATACAATATTGACGGTTGGTTATGTTACATCAAAAAGTTGTGCATACGATTCAGATTCAGGATGCAGGTATGTAAATATCCAGTATACATCTGTACCCTTTTTACCCTTTTTTGCTATTTTTTAATCTATTATAAACCTGCAAAATGTAACTATACTTGAGTGACACCAGTATCAAGATACATCAATGCACATGAAGCATCCGTGTAGCATGGACGGTTCACGGTTGGCCTGCCACACCTTAAACAATATTTATCAAGTTTTGGTTTAAGGTTGATTTCTAAACTTCCATTTCCATGAGAAATTGAACCACACAAATTTTATGTTTAGCAAAAAGCACTAGGATAAGTAAGGATCAAACACAGACCTTGTACACTGGATGCACCGGGTCATCACAGTCTTCACCAATGGACCCAAATTCTTGTCAACCACAGATCTCTTCATTTCAGTGAAACGCCCGCGGTCGGATCCAAAGGCCATAGATTGATCCTGGAGATCACATTCTCCTCCCTGATCACAAATTGGGCAATCAAGTGGATGATTCATAAGCAAGAACTCCATAACTCCTTCACGAGCCTTTTTGGCAATAGGTGTATCTGTCTTGATCTTCATTCCTGTAAGCGTACCCTCCAGATAAATTTGCAAGACTCGACACTAATGTAAATCCAAGGAACAGATGGCAAACCAAAACAATGAAAAATGCCAATAATAACTCAACAATAACTACAAATAGGATCAGCCTTCATGAAAACTATAAAATGACAAGCAACAATGAAGTAAAGTGAAATGCACAACAGGTCAAGATGTTACTAACCCAAAGAAAATACCTACAGAATATTGAAAATACCAGCTTCCCATAATTCTTCAGAAAAGGGAAACTGAAGAAAATAGAAACTTGTGTTTTGACAAGACTCAATCAACATTTCTGAAGTACTGATACAATGCATGCAATATCACCACTCGGACTCTCGAGCAAACAAGCTCAAATGAACATATCATTAGCCCATAATATATGGTTTGGTTAACTACAGCTGTAACATGAAAAGACTTTACTTTTATGGTTTCTTTTTCCTAGGATCAAATGACCGGCCGTTTACTGTTGACTATTAATGCAGCTATAGAATTGCACACGCGGGGACTCTGTAGATCATGAGTTTGATGCATATACAAAGCCTCTTTTGCAGAAATGCAATGGTAATACTTCAGTTGGTTCTCAATTAATACAACTATATAATTGCACACACAGGGACACTGTAGATCATGAGTTTGATGCATATACACAGCCTCTTTTGCAGAAATGCAATGGGGATACTTCAGTTGGTTCTCCATTAATACAACTATAGATATGCACACATGGGGTTTCTGTAGTTCACGAGTTTGATGCATATACACAGCCTCTTTTGCAGAACTTCAGTTGGTTTTCAATTAAGACAAGCAGCACTAGTCCACTATTACTACTCAAAATAAAATCTTTCACAAGAACATGATTACCATTACCATCCTATATAGTCTACTTCACTTAAGCACCAGTGTTAATTTGGAAAGCTCTCTTTTTTACCATAGGGAGTCCAAATAGAACTGAATGGATATTGAGGATAGATAAAGCTAACGTTTTTGAGAGCTTAAATAAGCAATTAAAACATTAAATTGAGCATAAAAATACAAATACAAATCTAGATCAATAAACTATGGCGATACCTGGAAGTGCAGGCATGGCACAAGAAGCAACAGGCTTAGGAGATTTCTCAACCTCCACAAGACACATTCTGCAATTTCCAGCAATAGAAAGTCGGCTATGATAACAGAATCTCGGAATGTCAACTCCGGCAATTTCACAAGCCTGAAGCACAGTCATACCCTTAGGGATTTTGACCGGGTACCCATCAACGAAAACCTCAATAACATCATCCGGATTGGGTAAATGAACTCGAGCACCACCAACTGGGTTTCTCTTCGGAAGATCTGATGGTGCGTCCGCAGCTGCTGCTGCGGCGGCGGCAGCATCGGCGTTTTTGAGCTCCGGCGTGGAGACGATGGTGCGGGTAGAGTTTCGAATGATTCTAGAAGATCGTAGGGCTCGAGAAGCGAGTAACCCTAATCCCATTGCGATTGATCTTCAGTTATTCGAATGGAGAAATGGAGAGAGTAAATTTGTTTTTGGAGTGTGGAGAGCAGATGTGCTACGTTTTTGTTTCCATGGAGCAGGGAAATTTGATTGGGGATGGAGTTCGGGTCGGGTTATGAGATTTGGGCTTGAAGTAAATGGGCCTTTTAGTTTTTGGGCGTTCAAATATACCCGAATCTCCAAAATGAGTGAACTTTTAATTTCGACTTATTTACATCAACGTCATAATCAAAATCAGAATTTGTTGAACTTGGAGTTTCGCTCATAGGATACGTAACGAATATTATTGTAAATCACTTGATTTTAAGAACGGTGCTTATGTGATTGATGTATACTCGTGGCTAATGTATAGGTTTGGTAAGTTTAGTCTATGATATGAAAAAATTCAGAGTTTGAGGTAACAGACTTAGGGACATATAAGTACAACAACAATATACACAAATCTAATCCCATAAATGAATATAATGAACGTAAATCTTATCTCTACCTCATATAAGAAGATATGAAGAGATATAGATATTCGACTTAAAAGGAAGAATATGCAAAGAAAGTGAATGATGTAAATGACGTGTTAGAAACTTCAAATATCTCAAAGCTTGTAATTTTTACACATCAATATCGTTCACAACGGCGATGACAATTCTTCGCCCTGCAGAGCATTTTCCGTCTGGCGTTTTAAGGAGTAATAACAGCGAAAGAATTACATTTTCCTTCTCGAGGATGTGTGTTTACAAGCAATCAGAATGCTATTGCACCAAAAATAAGTTTTTATCAAGAATTTCTAAGCTAATCTCGTTTTAGGGCCTTTGTAATGAAGGCTTTTGAAATTACTATGACAATGTATGACAAAACTGTGACAGTTATACCTAACAACAGAACCAACAGGTCAAATCCACTGTCCTGGACTGTGTAGACACGAAGCCTTATTCTATCCCAGTTACTCTCTGTCCAAACAGGGTCAGCTTCTTCCATGGTATCGGAGGAATTATGAGGTAACACCTCCCAAGTTTCGTACTCGTACTTCAATCGAGTTGAGTATGCTGGGACATACCTGTTACATGTGATGGATAAGTTCAAAGCAAGAGCATGTGTAGCACTAAACAGCTACAGAGTATCAAGCAACATAAGTGGTGTAAGTTTATATTACAAGGATAGACTGAAATCCAGTTACTGATCGACAGAAGCATATACACTGAAAGTCAACAATCTTCATAAGCTTTTTTTTTTTAGGATACTCCAGAGTTACCCTTTGCCTTGTTTTGTTGGAACGAATTGGTAAGCTGACTTAACCGTCTATTTTTATCAGCTAATGGAAGTCAAAGTAGGAATAGAGGTGAATCAAGGATTTAAACTCTATGGGTTCAACCTTTAAGGTAACCTATTTGTATGTTTAAAATTATGGATTCAGACCTACTAGTTATTGCAGTTGAACAAGGTGTCACAATTCTACATCCGCCCCTGACTGAGAAGGACAAGCATACGACAGACTGAACAGATCGGGCTTCACATTGCTTTGTTGTTTTAAGCAACATAGCAATGGTTTTTATTAACATATAAGCCGGCATGAACTAAATATCAGTAAATTAAAATTGTGGAACTACCTTGTCGTGGAAATGACACAGACACCCTTCCCGTCTGTCTCTACTTTGACACACATTTCCCCATTGCCACTGCAACCCTTCGGACAAGTAGAGCTCATATTCTTTGAAGGTATAGCTGTTTTATCTGCCAGGAAATTCCACACAAACCGAGAGACATCCCCCACATTACCAAGATATGGCTGAGAGGAAGGTTCCCCCATGACAACTCCGACATAATGGCTTGGGCAACTTGTAGAGGAAGCAATGTAGCGATTTACCAGTTCACATGTGAGACCTGGTTCACAACTTAACAAGCAGCCAAGGAGTTCTTCAACCAAGGACGCATTTATGTTGATGGTATTCAAAACTGAATTCTTTATTTCCTTCTTATCACTGGCCAGAATGTACAGACTTCGGGCAACAATAGAAGCAGCAGCCACTATGGCTGAAGAGTTTATATTTGCTGCTAACATGGAAATTATTCTAAATTAGAAAATGTAGTGATTCTACAACACAATGAATTAATCCAGACAAAGGCAAGGAATATAAAGAGTGAAATAACAACTCACATAGATCATCCAAGTGGCTGTGATAGAATTTATTAGTAAAAGCAGCATCAAAGTCTTCAAGGACTACCCCAGAGGTCTCTGGATTCTGTTTAAGAAGAAACAATAAATAAGCAGACAAAAACAAACTCGTTTAATTTATACAATTCCCTCTTTTCACTGATAGCAATTGATTCCTCTACCATCAGCATCAACATTCCTGCAGTTCTCCATCAAGCCTTTCACTAATGTCCAGTAATTTGAATATCCGTGTTGCTCTTCTAAAGTTCATTATCCAAACTTCTGCTCACACTCTAGTGACTCTATATTCTTCTTCATCTTTTTTTAAATCAGTATACTATAATCTAAAGTAATAAAGAAAGCGAAAATATCATTCAGAAATTACAAGGATGTTATCAATTCCATTATTCCCTTAATCCATTTTCCTCCACCATCCTGTTCCTCCCCTTGGTGCCCCCACCCTCAACCCGGACGACCACCAGCACATCAGAGTCCAAAGATTTTTTTTTAAAAGCAACATGACAGTGGAGCATTACAATGCAGAGGATAAACAACCAAAAATCATAATAAATATGCAATTCGTGAACATAAAATGTAGAAGAGAATTTTACCAGGAAAACATTAGGACGTTCTTTCCAAAAAAGCTACACCTAAGCTTAATTTAGCATAAAAGATTATTGCATAAGGTTTAAGCGGGAGGCTAAAAAGCTGGCCCGAAATATAAGCCACTAAAGTTTTGAACAAACCATACATCTTTACTAAAATATAATACAGGGCATCAAAGAACTTTGCACAAAATACTAATGGCTACTGAAACAGACAATGCAGGACTTCTTATTGTTTTCTTGAATTTACCTGTGAGAGGTGACAAAACTACTTTGTACAGTCTTTCTGTGTCTCCTACCTTCATGTTATTTATAATTTATAATTTCATTTGAGATGGAGAAAGTGCACAGAGTAGATCAAACTGAAGATCATGGAAGGCACAAAGAAAATATATTATCATTTATAAAAGAAATACTGGGGCATTTTCACCACCTTCTTCAGAAATGACATCAGTGAGGATGGGGGTAACCCTGGATTTGATTTACTGGCCCTTGAGATCTTAATGCTTTGAGTCTTAAGCGAACCTAGAGCATCCTTGAGGGCGCTAAAAGTTCCATTTGTGGCACTCTCCTGCAAAATTGAATCACATGACAGTATTTAAAGTATTAGCCATGCTGACTGAAGTATCAAGTTTTTGAATATTAAGCAGAAAGATAAGAAGCTGTCTGAATAAGAAAGCATCAAATCTGTGGTGAGGATACATATAAATCGTTTTGAAGTTCTTCAATATCTGGGTAGCAGTGTGTTCATAATTTCAATAATTGATTCCCATGAAGCATGCAGGGTTGAGGACTGTTAACTATACATATGATTGACATACTTTTACAGCATCACCAAGATGAGAGGATATCATAATGTAACTAAACAATTATACAATTTTTTTTTTACAACACTAAACAATTATACATTTTATAGCAACTTACTTCTAAAAAGTCATTATTATAGAAAATTATCTATTTTCATAGTAAAAGACTAACATGTGCAACAGCAAAGGAAAATACACATATTTGATACAACTTAATAAACAAATTAACGAGCAGGATAAAACCTTACCATTGTACTATGAGCAAAGAATGTGTTATCATCCTGAGTGAAACCCTTTCCAACTGATCCAATTTCAAGAACCTAAACAAACAAATTCAGATATAACACTGGTATAAATGGACATGTTCGATCTGATTAGTGATCTCTCAATATATTGACATGATAACACAACTTGTAAACAAAACATATTTCATATCGAACTAAAAGAATCCAACTAACATTAACAACCACAAGATACCCGGTATAGTTCCACAAGTGGGGTCTGAGGAGGATGGGGTGTACGCAAACCTTACCCCTAACATTAAATAGATGTTAAATTTTCACATTTATTCAATAAATAGACAAAGCATATCTAGAACTTGCTGAAATGGCAACACAACCAACAACACAGCTGGTTGGGATAACAATCAGCAGAAACAAGATATCATTAGAGCAAAAGGGTTGGAATCGATAACAATGTAAAATTTACTTGTTGTGTCTTCAGACCCCGAGGTTGAACAAGTAATTCTCTGAAATATTTGTAACATCTAACTCTCTCATTCCAATAATGACCTCATATAAAGAAAATACATGTCATTTTCAAGTTAACATCGGTATTAGTTTGACCATTAATGCACTCTCGCAAAAGGTTTGCAAGAGAAAACACATACCGTTTCAATAAGGGCCAAGTCAAGCCCACTAACAGCATCAGAATGTTGATCAAGCTCAAGAATAAATCTCCTACTGCCAAGGTAGCCCCAGGCCTCTCCGGTGAAAACAGCAAATACAAGCTGCAGAAGGGAAGTGTCACAAAGCGTGCATAGTAGTGGTTACTAAACACTATTTTATGCATACATATTACACAGACAGAAGCTGGTAAAAGATTCTCATAATAACTGTTTTGGAAACAAACACTAAAACAAGAAATGCTTAAAAATTTAGCACAAAAGCCTGTATATTGTTGTAACAGGAGATTATCTTAAGAAATTGATCTACATTTTTGGTTATGAAACATACTTGCTCCAGGTCTAAAATCTCTTTTAGTTCGAAAATAAAGATATAATGCACTAAAACCAGAACCAAGAACAAAATTAAAACACCAAGGGAAACGAGTACAATAGGCATGCTTGATAATTAACAATATGGCCACCTGTTTATCAAGGTCCCCCAAGCCATCAACACGTGAAAGAGCATCCACCACAGCTAGCAATGAGATCAACCCCTAGGGAGAATGTACATATGATCCATGGTATTAAGAAAATATAGAAATGCAACAATATT